AAAATGGCTTTAGACTTTAAGGTTCAAAATTCATGACTATTAATCTTAAATTTCTCTGACCATCTTACATATAATAGTTTAACCATTTTGAAACAAATTTTCAATAGATTTGATATCAATTTGATATGAAGTTCAAATTATAGTATCGAGGTTTGTGACCATTTTATCATATTATCATACTCTTCCTTCATAAACTAAGACAATCTCAGATATGTTTTCTTCCTTGCAAGAGAAACGAAGTTTTATTCCATGTATGATGATATCATGAATATTCTACACCCAAAACAATTGGCACTATTGTAATTCAAAACTTCATTATCATATTTCTATCTACATATGAATCTAATGCATATTTGTCAATGATATATTTAAGCTAAAATATCTAACATTTATGTGAAAGAATAATTTCATTTAATATATGTGTATGCTAAGATATAAAATGATGAAATATCTGTCTATCATTTCATAACTAAAATATGCATGTCTCTCAGCCCTTAAACCTCCACCCTTGTGCGTTTTAGTCCGGGTGGAAACTTATGGCTTACATGTACTTGTTTAGCTTTCCTTAATCCTTGAAACTCACTATACAATGTTCCCACAATATGAATGTCACACACACAAATTTACTCAAATGAGCTAGCTTACAAGTATTTAGAATGCTCTTTTTCCTAGAGAACTAACTAACTGCACATTCTCTACATACACGAATCGTTAGCACAAGCATGACATATGAACTTCAATTAGGTCAAGTCGATTATAGTATTTCAATTGAACCTCCCTCTAGCATCTGCAAGCCTCTTAACCTTCAATCATGTCAAATCGATGGTAGACTCTCACTCAAGCTTCCCTCTAGCTGCCTTTGTGGCTTATACCGCACCTTCAGTCCTAAACCTCCATCCTTGTGCATAGTTATATTATAAACCTGACTCTCCTTGTGAAGACCTAGCTGCCAATCATGTGAAAGCAGAAATAGGATTAGGTTTTTAGAATTTTTGCTAATCATTTTCTTTTTCAAGGTCATCGAGCTGTAAAGCTCTAGTGCCATCCACCTGTAAATCCCCGTTTATGCTATTTCATCAGCATTAATGTTCTTCTGTTGCTAGTCCGAAGTCAAAAAGTTTCACAATCTTTTGATTATCCGTTAGAAACACATTGTCAAGCTTAAGACCAATGATGAATTTTTCAATTGCAATGGAAATAGTCCATGGCTTGGACATTATCTAACGCAAATCCTATCGCTTGAATCAAAGACTCAGACATATACTTGCGGAGAAACTTGTTCCCGAGAAGCTCAATGACAATAACCTTCACATGCTACTTGCATGCTCCTACAAACTTCATCAAATTTTTGTGTTCCAATCTACACATCATGGCAAATTGAGTATCCATTTTAGGTCACTCCTTGATCGTTTCAAGAGGCAGCAAAAATCTTGGCAGAAACATTTTGGTCAAAATACTTGCAATCGTTCAATTTTACGTGTGCACCTTTTCCAACTAACATTTCTTCTTGACATCATAGACCTAAAAAATCACAACAACTTGCAGTCTTCAAGTTCCGAATCTTGTCTTGTTCGAACCTTGTACATTACATCCTTGCACTCACTACCGCTAGCCCCAACGACATCTCCTCCACAACCACTTTCCTTTAGTATTTCTACAAGATTAGTTGAATATATTTTAAAAAATCTTGAGCCAGATTTGTCGAACTCACAGTAACAGCTCTAAATTATTATCAAATCAATTTCTTCCCGTTTTGAGTACCAAAAAAACCTTTTCACTCTTGGATCCATGCCAATTCTAAAATCTCCTCTTATCTTGCTTCTTTGGCACTAGAGCCGAGATATTTACTTGATGGGATCCATCAAGTTTTGTTTTATCCGATGAGACCACACCAACGTTACACGTCACACATGTTATAGTATGAATAGACGGTGTAGTGACTCTGTCGATACACATTGGAGCATGGTCGCAACGTAGCGGAGCTCGCGATCCTCGATGTTAGACGCTCTGTCTCAACGCAGTGGAGCTCTGACTGTGAATTCGTGCTGCGATCGTTGCTTAATTTGTTGGAATCAATCGATAAATGCGTATAAGAACTCGGAATCTGCACCCGAATTGGATGATGTTGCTCTTCTTTGCAAGCTTGAGAAAGAGTACTCGAACCCAAAGTCTAAGATCTCCCGTCCACTTTGGCACTTGACATTGATGAGTAGTAGAGGTCTGTATTGCTTGGGTGCTATCAGACCTTGGAAGCTGGCGATTGACTCTGCTGCCGTGGGGAACATCACAATAGAACATACACATATTTGTACAATAACACATATTACACCTCATCGATGATGTGCCATCGATGGGATCCTATAGGGTAAAACGAAACTCCACTAGTGAACACTTTAGTCAAACAATCTATTTCCAGACTAAAACCACTTAATGTTATTACATCTAAACTATGGAGCTTCTATTACTTTTTATGTCATTCTAACCACTCAACCTTTAGTTAATTCAAAGATTTTGTCAATCCTAATGTTAATTTCAAATGTGGTCACACAATTGAGCTCACAATGCCATAAGTATGTTCTAGAAAAATTAAAATTCTTCTTGTAAATATAAATTTTTATAACATGATGTCTATATCAATTGATATAAAGTAGAGCTACAAAAGAAGCTACTCTTACTGCCACAAAATTGAACATTTTTATCTTGAATGAGCTCATGATAAAAAATTCAGTTGATAAAATCATGCAATAGGTGTTTATCTGTCATCTGGAAATAAATCTAATTTTTTAAATATAATTTTTATTCTAGATTTAATTCTATAAGTAAAAGTTTATATAGTTGTTTGAACAAAAGTATGATAAAGTACTTCGACTGTGCAATGAAGGCAAGAAAATTCGAAAAAAAAGTCACTGGATCAAAAACATGGAATAAACTCATACGGATCATTTATGTAAGAAAATCACAGTAAATTTCAAACTTTATGTCATCTCGGAAGTATGCCATCTGGAATCAGAGAACGCTGGAAGGTAGTTATGCCCAGTCTATGATAGCAAGTCATCAAGAATCCGTCTTGTTTAACCAGCAATCCAGACATCACTCCGCTCCGGTCTTTTCTTCGACTTTCAACCTCAGACAGTTTTGTTCCAGGGAATCCCCCTCACTCTCCAGCGGAACATGTAAGATTGTCATCGATTTTTTGATCAAGTACCAACATATTGGTTTTGATCAAAATCAACGGGGCCGGGGCTGTATTACACTGGGTCGAAAATCGATGGATTTTATTTCCATGTCATTTTCGTTGAACCTCGTCTAAGGAAGTCGGATGATAAATCATATGGAGAGCAATCTGCTCCGTTTGAATGCCATCGTGAACATATGTGCGGCCCTATAGAACAGTATGCCATGAACGGCAGCCAAGTGACTGAAACTAGATTGTTGGGGACTTTTCAGTGTACCACCGTGTGTATTTTCCACACTTTCATTTTATTTAAATTCTGGCGATGACATGCGATCTCTCGTGCTCAAGCCTGGACGCGACCTAGCACTGTTTGCCCATGCCAAAGATCTTTTCACTCTGAATTTTCTAATGAGTGTCAGTGGTTGAAAGCGCGTCTTGATGAAGATTTAGAACCTGGGCTGAAACTCAAATCTAAACATTTATCGGAGTGAAAATAAATAAGAAGAGTGGGCGCATGAATCATATCAGTATCATGAATAGACTTTCATGATACTCGGGCGTATAAACGTGATGAGGATTTTTGAACATTAAACAAGAAATAAATCTAAATAGCATGTATGCAACAAGTCCATAACAACTATTAAAGATAAATTCAGAGTACTAGAGTTTGTTCTTATATTCCGAGCAGAAAGAATCTTCTTTTCTTAATGACACTACTGACCAAAGATTGTTACAATTATACACCACTCCATAATCAGAGTAAATTATCAAGATCCTGCTCTCTAATTCTGCCATCCTTTCGTCCTTGTATTTCTTGGTCTTTGTTTCTCCCACGACCTAAAACAATGTACGAGATGGCTCGTAGAGGGTTTACGAAAGACAAAGACAGGGTATACATAGACACACTCGTTTCTTTGTACTCTAATATCATTCTTTGAAGGCCAGAAGTGGCTGTTTGTGTGAGGTTTAATGTAAAAGGATACAAACAAAATTAACTGAACGCAGTTTCGATGTGATTGTAAAGATTAGGTTTCTGAGTGGTACTGTTTTAATTTTGTTAATTCATTAGTGTGTATTGAGCTTGACTATCAGCTTTGTTTGTTTCTCACACGAACGAGGTCGTGGAAAAACAATTACCAAAAAGTACAAGAACAAAAGGATGGAAGGTACCGTGATCCGGTTTGTCGACTAAGCTTTTGTTGTCGAGCCATGAGACTACGTGCCATACTTGATTAAGTTATCTTGGTATCGTAGCATTCGGAGAAATGAAATTCTATGACACTAATGCAACCACCACTCTAATTCAATGACCTTTCTCCTCACATACATTGGGTAGCGTGTATGAACTCTTGTATACCGAACGGATTTCTCAGTGATTGCATTGTGCCGTAAATGGGTGTGTCAAAACAGCACCCGGGAGATGGTTTCCAATCACAAAGTCTGTTTCCAGCAAAATTCTAAACTTTCCCTGTGAATATAAACACACACCATTATGAATGGCGCGAATATGCTGCATAATTCCCGGACGAATGCCGCACACACCCTGTTAGATAGAGGGGCTAGTCAAGTTCTGAACATTGTCGCTTTAAGCGAATATGCTTCGTGTCTAGAGGAGGACGCAGTATCTTCCAACCGTCAGACGTCAACTTGACGCAAATAATAAAAGCACTGTGACCGGTAAGGAATTGTTTATCGTACACATATTCCTACATTCACAAGTTTCCCACGTTACTTCCAAGTCAAATGCAGCCATTTCACTAATGAATCCGACGTTAAGCTTTACTCTTTGTAGTTCGACGATGACGTAGAGACAAGCTCTTTAATACGGCACAAGCGTTTGATGGCAGATATTTTGGTCAGGTCAAGATAAGACAGGTGAATGGATTGAACTGAGGTCAGTGCCATTGACACTGTTCTGGGCAATTCGTCTTCCGCGCTTGAGACAGAGGCATTATATGTAAAAACATAGCATGGCTACAATCTTCTCCTTTGAGCTCCAAAAGAGTGACACCATTTAATTGGGCCACTGTGTATGTACAAATGGACATCGTAAGCCACCCAGACTTATTACAATTTGACATCAGAACTTCAACTTCCCTTACGTGCCCCCAGTTTGGATCACGTAGAGAATAGTTGTTTCCCGTGGCATTTAGTATACCAACTCTGCAGTAGTGCTATTGGTGTGGCAAGCTCGAACTAAATCAAGTATGGCACGTAGTATCGGGCTCTTTACTCAAGTCCTGGCATCACATCCTCTCCAACTCTCAGAGCCTACGGCAAAGCAGGTAAACTAGAAGCTATCCTCATGCTTACGCCTGAGGAAGGGGAAAAATGAGTGGAGTGTGTTGTGTAGCTTTCAAGTACTTCCGGCAGATTAACTCTAGAATACAAATCTTATCAGGAGTAACGTTAGTATCCATTTTAGTACCATACTGCACAAAAGTCGTCCTTACATCACCATCCGAACCAACAGCACCACGAGTCCTGTGGTTCGTTGCTTCTCTTTCTCCTCAACCCAATCTTTGCAAACAGCCCTAGTCACCTAGGAAGATGAATTGCAGCCATCCCAAGGTAGACTACCCAGTAGGTGCCTGCATGAAGCCAGAGGGAGGGATTCCAGGGAAGGAGTGTACTGTACAGCAGAGCCCGCCATCTCCTCAGCGTGGAGGCAAGGCGCTTGGAAATACTACGTTGAATTGGTGGAAGAGAGAAACAAAGACTGTACTTGAGATTTGTGACACTCAAAGTTTGAGGTGTACAGATTGGACATGAGAGGTACTGGGTTCATAGAGGAATTACATAAGAGCTCCCAAAGATTTTCATGGATTGGATGCGTGTGGCAGGATGAAATTCTCAGCAGGGCATGCTTACCATGGAAACAGGAAAACTGTTGCAAACCCTCAATAATCTTTCTGGAGATGACTTCTCCGAAAGGTACGTCTGCTGACGTCTTTTCAGATCAAGACCTCCCTTCCAAGGTATACAGTGCAGTTCACAAGTATGAGTTTGCTCAAGGAAGATGGTGAAGATAGTGCAACATGGGGGACACTAGGTCAAAAAGAGAATTCTGGTATACGAGACAAGATAAAAGGGGGTAGATCGTATCGAGCAGCTAATGATGCATGGCAGGCTGTGGCATACTGTAGGTCATGTGAGTCATATTCATTGGGGGACCTCCCATTCCGGGCCTCACCATGTGCCCTCTCACTCCATAACCCATCTGTCCTGGAGGATAGACCGGGGTACCCAACCCTGTTGTTGCACCGGGACCTACAGGAGTAACGTACATCCCACCTTGAAATGCAGGTTGCGTTTTGTGAGGAAGAGGTTGCCCGGACGTCGACGTTCCTGAAGGTGATTGACCAGTGATGGGACCAGGACTGCCCTGCATAACTTCCACTCCGGCTGAGTTGACGCTAGTGATATCGTGGATGGAGGATCGGCGCTTATCTTTGTTGATAGAGTTCAATCTGATGAAATACTTCTGCGCGTGACTCGCAACTTGCGTTGGTGTACGCGATATTACAAAATTTCGAGATATGCTCCTCCAGTCACCTTTGCCGAACTTTGCAAGTCCAAGTAAAAATGACCTGCGGCACACGACACACACCAACAACAGATGTCACTAACAACAAATCTAGGTGAAATTTGAAGGTATTACTCTACCTATACACTTCAGTGTAAAAGGCAATGAGGTCAGCAAGATCAAGCGAAAGTCTTCCGCTGAAAGGTCGAAGTTTGAGTAAGAATCTCATCCAGGAACACCCTTCCGATTCAAGAGAATGAAGGTCCACTACCACTCGTTTGTGATAATGTGTTATCACAAACCAGCTCTTGCATAGATTGTGCATTCGTAAAATACGTTTTAGTAGGTACAAAGCACCCTATGCTTGTACCGAATAAACTCCATCCCCATGACTGGCTTCTATGATGTGCGCATAAAAGCACGGGCAAGAGCAACATCAAAGTATGTCACATCCATGTCACTGCGTCATATGTCAGCCTCCGTGAAACTCCAAGGGATTCGCCCAGGTCGTCGGTGAAAGAAGACTCTGATTTTGTTCAACGAAGGTGGTGAGTTCAGTGAATGCAACCTACATAAGAGTCTTGAACTGTAGGTAATCCCGTCGTTATCACGATAACTAGCTCTCAAGGGTGGTAAGCAACGAGTGAGCGGCCATTCTCTTCTTCCGAGGTCCGCCCAAGTCGGCTACACTTGCGATGTTCATCCTCTATAATCCAAGAGGGTGAACAAATCAACAGTTCTGGCTCCACTGAGGCACATGATTCCAAGAATTTGCAACTCAGCTTCATCGCAGAGGGTTTATTATTTCCCATTGAACACTAGGGATTGGATTATACAGATCGTATCAGCTTGGGCGTTCACTCAGCATCCTCACTTGATGATAGTATGTCAACACACTAATCGAGATGGATCGAAGCACACAACAAAGTAAATGGAACCAACCGATAAATGGTGAACACCGGGGTTTACTATTGACGACATAATCCAGGGATGTGCACTGGTGGCCCACACTTATACTCCGGGTCAGAAACCACCCACATCCCTGAAGGTGATGAAAGTGATCAACCAGAGACCAAATCTATGAGCTGAACGTGAAAGAGTACAACTGAGTGTAGCGGCAGACCTGTGCTCTTCTTCGGTCCACGGGATGCCCTTGCGTCTTTCTTGGTCCGCTTTGCTACTACTGGACTTCCTCTCAAGACCACCCACCGTTCCACTGGTTCCACTGGCCGAGACGCCCGGAGACTGGCCAGACCACGCTTTGTTCTTGGACACCGAGCTATCGGACTGTTCGCCAGCAGCATCTGCACCTGATAAGCTGCCCGGAAGAATGTAGCTCGGAAGGGCAACTCTGCCCGCATCAATCGAGGTCACATCTTCCGTGAGGAGCTCGTAGTGCTTCATCACATCCGCCGCGTCCTTGCCAGGAACCATGGAGGCCACATTGTCCCAGCGATTAGGCGATTCTTCGTCGTACACCGCCAATGCATTCTCGAAGAGCTTGTCTTGCTCAGAGGTCCATGAAGAAGAGACTGCCGGAGCAACATCGGGGGCCGGAATGACGGGAATCGTCGGAGCTGAGACAGCAGAAGGGGTGGGCACGACAGGCGCGGCACTCGGTCCTGCCGCGGCGGCAGCAGCGCTCGCAGGAATCGGAGTACTGGCAGTGGATGGGGAGGATGGTGAGGGCCCCGGAGAGGGTGCTGCCATCCGCACCACTCAGACAGGCACCAGAAAACAGACTCACACGATGTCACCGAAAGCTACACGAGACTTTGGCCAGCATGTGAGTCTCGTCCCAGATCATCGCGTCCCTTCCATAATGCTCGCATGTCAGTCCATAAGGAGCTGCTGCTGCAAGGCAGAGAGAAGCGCAATCGGTGCAGCGTGTAGACGATCACCAGAAGCACACACAAAGTACCCACCACCTCGTGCAACATACTCTCCTCGCCTCGCCTCTACCCACCGATCCCACCATTCAGTTCCCGATACGACCTGCGAACTGTCATCGGCTCCCTTGGCCTCTCATTCGATCACTCCCGCGATCCCGCACCAACAACCTCGCCTCGATGCTGACGGGCCTTCTCGTCTCGCCTTCCACATTCCGAGCCGAGCCGAGCCGAGCAACCAAGGCACCGCCTGCCGCAGGCAGCTCTCGACTCCACACCTCTCACTCTCTCGCGAAATCTCTCTCTCGTGCTCGCGCTCAAGGATCTTTGTCCGGAGGCAACAGGAGCGCGCACACCCACTCGCGCACCGCCTGTCTGCTCTCGACCACAACAATTGGCAGCCCGCGGCCCCCGCCAACATCACCCACAAGCAAGAAGTCAGTGAAACGAGCAGCGGAAAATCACCCGCCTTTTCCCTCCACAGCCTTCTTCGCCTTCTCTCGCCGGGGGCTCCTCGACTGGCCGAGCCCCAGCCAAACCTCCGGACCTGGCGGAAGTTTATCCAGCCCCCGAAAGAGGAGCCTGCGGTTCGTGAATATCATCTGCGGGATAAGGCGCCCCATGCTTATCCCTCTCTCTCTCTCTCTCTCTCTCTCTGCCCTGCCCCTGCCCCTGCCCGTCCCTCGCCTGCCTGCCTGCCTGCCAGGCCAGCAAGGAGCTTTCCGGCCTTCGGAAAGTGGATGCCTCTTTCTGCAACCGATCAGCTTGGCGCTGCACCGCTCAGCAGCCTCAGCCTCAGCTCACCTCTGCAACGGTACACTGTAGTTAGTAGTTAGTTAGCCCGCCCGCCAGCCCGCCCGTCGCTACTCGGGCGGGGCCGGGCTGTATTGCACGGGTCGTAGCGCACCTCCTCCGAGTCCCGATCCTTCTGCTTCTGCTTCTACTTCTACAGGCGGTACTACGTACGGTGCCAGAGCCTGGGACGGGCACTGGGGTCACACCAGGTCGCACAGTCAGACCGGCCCTAGAGTAGGTACGTCGTACGTCCGCTGCGGAGGTCGGCCCCACCGGGCGCGATTGAATGCGATGGGCGTGCCATGGGCCACTCGCGGCCCCGCGTCGCCCCGACGAATGACCCCCCGCACTCCCCTGACCGGCTGGTGCGAGCATGTCGTCGGTCGAATGAGTGCCAGGTTTTGCCAAATTAGGGCTTTTATTCTCTCGTCCTGTTCGGTTCGACGGTCATGAATCTGCTCTCCTCTCTCTCGCTAAAACCCTCCGCCCTGACCTAAAGGACTCGCTCTGTGCGCGAGGTGGGTGGCAGCTCTGTGCTATGCTGCGCTGCGCTTTTGATTGATGAATGGATCGATTCATTGATTGATTGATTGATTGATTCAGTCAGTCAGCCACTTACTCTTTCCTTCTTGAGAAGCTTTTCCATCGGCACTGACGGATCGCTTTTGTGTGTACGTTTGCTGTATTTTTTTTTTTCTGAGAAGGCGAGGAAAGCAGGTGAGGGTGAGCGGAGTGCCGAAGGGATCGAGTCTTTCTGTTCTTGGCGAGTGGCGGGGTTCCCGAGACTCGCACAGATGTCGGGAGCTGGTTCAGGTTGGATCGGAATGGGGAGATGGTGCACTGTGCTCGCCGAATAGTGCTCTTGTTAGGAGGTATGGGACATCGAAAGCGAAAGTAACGGTGCGGGCGTTGTTACTGGATGGATCCGTAGCATGCAAGGGTGTGGAATTTCGGGCTTCTGATTTATGCCGTGACAGCTCAGGTTTTGTAGGTGCCCACTGTTGTGGGGATTTAAAATTGTTCCGCTGCCACCGTACCTGCGTCATCCATCTCTCGTATGGATCAGCTTTTGGTGTCTGTGTTACGTGGGGTTGTCGCAGCTGATGCCCCTGAACAGCACACGGATCGGCACATGGTAATCCACTCAGGCGTCGGGTTTGCCTCCCGTGTACAGTGATGGAGCCCCAAATGCTCAAAGCCCTTTGTCTTGGACGTTACTCGTGATTCTTGTCAGAATTACTTCGTCTCGATCATGGGCTTTCAAGGCCGTCTGCTGAGGGTTATTTCCGAATTGGGCAGATCGTCATCTCAGAGGAGGACCCGATCTTTGCCAGTTGACTCCTGGACCAGCTTTACACGGAGAAATCCAGAGCCCAACCGCACTGTTGTCACCATCCCCGGTTCGTGCTATGGATCCACTGACACCTTTGGACAAAAGGATGTCCCGCTTGTTGAACCAGGCCGGTACTCTGATGTTTCCTTTTCTGCACCCGTACCTTCTGCAACAGCATCGTCGAGGTTTTCATCTGCAGGAGCGAGTTTCCACGGGTCGCTCGCCGTGAACCAGCTGACACCTTCCCCTCAGTTTATGGCCTGCCCGAGAGTGTGCAAGAATTTGAGCACCGTGTGCTATCCCAGGGTTGGCCGATCGTTTGAAGCGCATCACTTATTGGAAGCCTCTCATAATAAACCTCGTCCTCCGCGATTCGATTTTGGGATTGCCCGGGGAGAAGAGGAAGATCGCTTTGGCTACGGTACTTTTCGGAAGTCAACGACATGTGGCGGACGCATTCGTTTTGCCCCTCAGCCACCGCAGGGCGTTGTCCAGCATGTTTGTAAACTTCTGCGGGCCATGGGTTGGGGGCCTCAAACTGCCTGTGCGCTCGATGTGCTGGACCATGAGCTTAATGTTTTCTTTGTGTGTGAGGTCATGAAACATAACGGCGAGGTGAATGAGTCTATGGGGTTTTTCCGATGGGCGCAGAAACAGACTGGTTTCAAGCACAACTCTTACACCTACACAGTCCTGTTAGGTCTGCTTGGAGATGCAGGAAGATTAGATGAAATGACAGGTTTGTTGCAGGAGATGCGGTCCGAGGGTGTCACTGCCTCGGTCGTAACGTACATCACGCTCATCAAAAGCTACGGAAAGGCTTCAATGATAAAAGAAGCCCTGGAGGTGCTTGATCAGATGCAGAGGCACGGTTGCCAGCCTACTGTGCATGTCTACAATCGCCTCATGGACGTGTTCGTGACTACTGGCTCTCATGATCTCGCTGAACAGATGTGGAAGCAGATGCAGCAAAGTGGGTGCCCTCCTGATAAGCGCACGTACCAGTCTTTGATTGAAGTTCTGGACAAGGCAGGCAACAGGACGGCTGTTTTCAAGACGTTCAGGGAAATGCTGGGGAGGAGAATCAACCCGACGTTACCTACTTACAATATCGTGATGTCGCTGTATGGTCAGGCTGGTGAAGTAGATACAGTTGTGAAGCTTTTCCATGAGATGACAGAACGAGGTCCAAAACCCAATCTAGCTACTTACGACATACTAATCAAGAGCTTTGCCAAGGTCGGGGATGTGAACGGTGCCTGCAGTCTGTTTGACACAATGGCAGAAGCAAATTGTTATCCCATCGTCCTCACGTATAGTATTCTCATCAAGGGTCTCGGAAGCATTGGGAAAGTAGACATGGCAGTGGACTTTTTCCGGCGGATGATTAAGCAAGGGCACATTGCCGACGATGTCGCGTATTTAACGCTCATCGATATTCTAGGTAAGGCTGGACGAATGGAAGATGTCTTGAATCTGCTTCAGGAAATGAAGACCCAAGGCGGCGTTGCTAATGTGTTCGTCTACAACTCTGTCATAAACAGCCTAGGGAAGGCAGGGAAAGTCGATATGGCTTTGAAACTGTTCGAAGATATGGCCCAGAGCGGTTGCGCTCCAGACGTGGTCACTTTTACTTCAGTGGTCGATATCTTGGGGAAGACGGGGAGAGTTGATGAAGCTTACAAGTACTTTCAGCGAATGAAGGCGGAAGGATGTGAGGCAGATGTTGTCGTTTACACGACACTCATAGACTGCTTTGGGAAGGTAGGTGATATGGATAGAGCGTTGAACCTTTTTCAGGAAATGAAACTTCTGAAGTTTTCTCCGAGCGTGGTGACTTACAACGTCATGCTCGACCTCCTCGCCAAAGCAGGCAACATGGATGAGGCGTCCAAGCTTCTGAGGGAGCTCAAAGCGACAGGACCTCGCCCCGACATCGTCACTTACGGTGTAATGATGGACGGATTTGGGAAGCTTGGAAACTTGTCTGCTGCTGACAATCTTTTCATCGAATTGAAGAGCAAGGGTTTTGCACCAAGTGAAGTCATCTACAACATTCACATAAAGAATCATGGCAAAGCTGGAAACGATGAAAGTGTTGGCAGGCTCTTTATGGAGATGAAATCTTGCGGTTTCAAACCGAATACTCGGATCTATAACTCAGTGATTGATTGCTATGCAAAGAAGAGAAAGAAAGAAGCTGCCATGGACGTTTTCCAGGAGATGACGAAGGCTGGGGTGAAGCCGAACAAGACAACCTACAAAATTCTCTTGTCTACGAGACTTTTCACGTTGAACACATTACCAGTAATCATTGACGATGAGATTATGATGATAGCCGATGGTTGAAAACCAGTATGGTGTTGGACAAGATTGCTGCGGCAGTAACTTGATTCGCATGTTCTGCTCCTCAAGTATCAGGTAACGTTGTTTTTCCATAGCCAGGACCCGGGGTCTTGGGTCTTCACGTTCTATTAAATATGGTGTAACACCCTTATTTTCAAATCCGCTTCGGATAGCATCTCTTCTGATGAGATTGTCATTTTCTTGGTAGTAGTCTGGATTCATTCTGATGAGAACAATCGTTTTTTCAGATCTGGATGGATGGATACATCAGATTATCACAATACATCATGGAGTACCAAATGTATCTTCTTATTCGGAAGATCAGAGTATCGTTTCTTGGACACACCAGCAAGCACGCGAGCGTCGGCACAGTCAAAGTTATATCGACTATAATGAATCTTGGTGTTGGCATTACGGACATCTGATGAGGTGCGCCACCTCAAGGATTGGTATGATGACGATTTTATTCGCACTACGGGCTTATTTCCGTTGGAACTTCTGAGGAGGTGAAATAGGATCACAGCAGAGGTAAATATTTACAAATCTCAAGGGACCTGAGCGAGTGTTGCTGTTATTCTCTCACGGCCTTTTCAGACGGGTATGATATTGGTGCTTGGAGACCTTTCCCATTTGTCTAACTATTCTATTCACCTCTTAGTTCACTCTAGGATGCTTAACAGTACAATTGTTTAAATTCTGATGAAACATGGCATTCGGTTTGATGCATGATAGTACATTATCACTTTGCTAACACACCTACATTTTTCCAGGACGGTAGAGATTTTTCTGAAGGTACTTCAGACGCCCTGAGGTCGTGTACGAAGCTATCGTCGATTGGAGCATATAATATTACACGTCAAGGACAGACAATTTTGAAGTGCTCTAAGGAAGGTATTGCAGGGCAGAGCGTATGATACCACACAGTAGAAGGATAGTGCAAATGTCATCTCAACTTTGTTGCACGCGACGTTTGCCGGAATCACAAAAATTTTAAAGGAATTATGACATCACCCATATCAGTTTACTCACCTGTTGCAATATAATTAAATTTAAAGACTTGAAGAAATTAGCTTCTTAGAAATTTTTAATTACTCGCAATTGTGTACAAACAAATTTTGTATTCTAGTCGTGTACAACAGCTTTTTTTCACTCCCAAACACAGTCTAAATGTACACCTAAATGTAAAAGGATCCAAAATTTGTCGGCCTTCCGTGAAATGTAGATAATTAAAAGATCCTGGACATAAACCATCGCCACAGAAGGATGGTAATTTCGCCCAACACGACGAGAAACACGACGATTTGAAGATGATGATGAACGGTCAGAAACTATGTTAAACCATCGCATCTTAGGAAAGATCTTCTCTGGCACACGCCCATAACGTCTCATATTTTGAAAAGCCTGTCCTACCACTGTGTTCCATGCATAAAACCCGCAAACACCTGCAGTGACCAGGTACAAAATTTCAGATAGGGGACAATGTCTTTTGATTGTATTACAGCCATTTTCCAACTAAACGTAACCTACAATCATTCTTCATACATTCACTGGAATGTGAAAATTAAAGTGTACTACTCGAGTACTCTTTTACTTTCTCGTGACGGAAACCCCGGTTGATGGCAATATGCGGTGATGTAAACACAGATGTGCTGTATCATACAGATGCTCTAGGCTACTGCACTAAGACCATTTACAATTCAACATTACTAGAAAATCTCACAAGATTCTCGAAATGTCGTCTGTGATATTTTTCGTAGTCTGAGCACAAATATCAAAACCATCTGTTATATCCACCTGTAGACGTAAGCTGCAAATCTGAGCATCTTCATCGAAGTTTCTTCATCGACGAAAAAATACCAGCTAAAGATGACTGACTTTCGTGAAAAGCGTCAGTGCAGAAAAAGAGACTCGAAGTTCGTGGACATGCTGCTTTTGCGCAGCCTGGCAGCGTGGGCTTTGGTCTTGGCCGAACGCAGTCAGAAGCACAAGGTAATGACGATTCAGATGAGGTAAGCTTAGGCTCTAAGAATCACGCAATTTAGTACTTCCTCGTCCTCAGCCCCCGGCTCTGATGATATAGATGTGAAAATGTCATCCCCAGTGACGAGAATCGGATCAGTTTCGATCATTAAGACATTCAACCCTCGCCCTACTAGAACAAGTTTGCTTCCTAAGCCGGCGGCTTTCGGATTACTAGTCAAGATTGTGACCCAGTCCAATTCTGCAAGCCCTTGCACCTTTGCCCAACCTACAGACCTGCACGGGTGATACGTGTATCTCAACCTACCTGTGGCCCAATCAACCAGAACTATGTGCTTATTTACTGTTGCGCCCAAACTGAATGTAACTAAGGCCTTCACCTTATCCTTGAATCGGGTTAAAAACCATTCTCCTTTCTTCGGAACATAAAACTTTATCAGTTGTTTGGTGGCCTGCTGGGAATCCTTTGTCCTGTACGAGATATAAAACTCGTCCTCATCGAAGGTATATGAAGACCATTGTACTTGCCAGCCCCTTTTGTACCAATTGGGACAAATGACCTCAGGAAATCCCCGATTTCCTACCGTGGACCACTCCTTTTTCTCGGCATCATATTTTTCAGCAACTTGTATGAGGTTACCGAAGGAGTCAAACCCACCGGTAACGTAGATTTGCCGATCTACAAGAAATATTAAAGGGCTATGACGAGTGGTTATCATACTTTTCCCTTTCCTCCATTGGTGAGTGAAAGGAGAGTAGATATAGACATCCCTCAGAGTAGGCCCAGATTTCCCAGCTTGGCCACCGGCGACATAAAGCTCACCTTTAACAGATATAGACGCTCGACCAAAAACTTCATGATCCAGACCTCGCCTCGTGGGTATGGGAGGTAAGCATAACCACTTCTCTTCCGAGACATCCAGAGCGTACCAGGACACGACTTTGGTAGTAGGATTCCAAGTTTCACTGTAAACCCACTCCTCCGTGACTCCCAGATCGACCCTGCACTGGAAGAAAAAAGGATCCTCCACAGCTCTCTTCCAAGCTTTGCTTACAAGTCTCAGATGGATCCAAGAAGAACGGGACAATCTTGCTAGGCAGCCTCGAACCACATCGTCGGGCAGACCAGGAATCAAAGAAGAAATCCAGGCCCTGCTTAGCCGTCTTTTCTGAACCAGACAGTCACATTTGCTAGAAGGCCCTGCCGACAGGGCAGACATGGTGTGACAGCAAAATATCCACCCTTCCCAGTGTGCGGAATATTGTCGTCGGACCACTTGAATAGTACCCCTACTGCTGCAACAAATATAAATGATTCATCAGCATTCCAATCATCAGCATGAACATACCACCTTATAACAGCTTTTGTCCACAACGAAGATGTTACAAACAACTTAAAGCACGCGTACTAATGCTTCAAGCAGTGGGTTAAACTTCAAGAGCGACCAGTTCACTGCTGTGTCTCAGAGCAAAGGTTCGCCCAACTGTCCTCATTAGTATTTGTCCGTTACGACCTCAGCCCCAGTATGTGTAACCAATACAGAGAAGTTGAGTAGGTTCAACAGACCAAGTTACTGAAGAGTAATACAGGAAACCTCAGAAGAGACGGTACTGAATAACCGCCAACAAGAGCACGTTGACAGCGTAGAAAATTCGTAGAACAAGTGAAGACAGAAAGTTAAGGTCGATTTGAGGACAAGTGAGGCAAGGGCAGTCTGCAACGCAGAAAAGATAATAGCGGGTGATGACAAGTCAGTTCTGCTTGAGGCTCTAATGTAACCGTTTAACAGATAAAGACCATACCACGAAGTAGTATCCACCTGCCTGCCACTAATTGCATGCCAGCTTCCAACTGATGGGTGTGAATTCAAGGGAGTCATTGTTGGGCGACACAGTTCAATACGTAAGCACATTAACTGAACTTCTCGCACAGGGTCTACAACCCTGTGCGAGAAGATGAACTTTCGGCACTGAAGATCCCACTGCTGTCCATGTGACAGGAAGGAGTTATTCACTCCCCACAAAAGGTGAGTGAACAAAAGACGCTGGTGTATTTTTCCATCTCCTACATATACATCTGCAGGATGCACACTATTCAAGTCATTTCTTCATTGTTTGTCTATCTAAACCTTGGAAGTTCTCAACATATGGAGATGGAACCGTAGAAGTCGTCAAACTTCTTGCGGCTTCAAGAGCTGTTACAAAAATTTGTAATTACATTTGTCCCTTTATTCTTCAGTTCGTATAGAAATGAAATCAGCCACAAAATCTCACATATGATCCCTGTACACCAGTTCGGCTAGCAGCTCGCCTTCGGAGTGGTAGATGCTCGCCGGGACACATCTAGACCTCTATCGAGTAAGGGCAGCTAGAAAAATCAGCCACCACTTGTCCTACACAAGATCAAGCTACAACTAAACTGGTAGATTTTCACGGTTTGCCCAGATTGACACCATATATCAATCCTTGGCAAACTACTGTCGGACAGAACAAGCAAGATACCCTGAAGAGGAAACGCCAAGCTAAAAAAAACTCGTAGTCCTTATCTATCACGGGCAACAGTCTTTTCGCAATGATTCTTCTGCGTTGAGAAGAGACCACCCCAAAATCCCTCCGTCCGTACTTCAACGAACAAAAAGAAATTACCAGATTTTACTTCAGAAGATTATGCTCTCCTTCTTTTCATTGAAAAGAAGGAGAGCATAATCTTCTGAAGTAAAATCTGGCCATACTATAAAGTTCAAAGAAGACCACTCAGAAGTTATGAACTTTTATCTAAATCACCCAAACCCCCGAATGCGACTGAACTACCACATCCCTTACCTTTCTGTGCACCACCAAGAATGCCAATGCTCATGACCTCCATGCACGGTATAGACGGTTAGAAGTTGTCAAACTCAACTTCTTACACGTCTTACCAGTAATATCTATGACAGATCAAACAACATCTTGGCTCACCCATCTTGCAGCCAACTACTGCTTCCCGAGAAAATTGTGCATGACATGATTACAAAAGAAGTTCAAGTTCAAACGGTGTTACCTTTACGAAGGCTGAGCATGAATAGAATCTTCAGCGCACAGTGATTTTGCCTGCAAAAATAACAGTAATTGATTGACAAAAAGCAGAGGTCATGACTAGATGCAATCCTGTGCGTCTTGACTTCGAGCCTTCGAGAGTGCGAAGTGTTCCAAATTTTCTGTTTAGCTCCTTGGCTCTGGTCACAAGGGACACCAGTGACACACAGACGGATGATTGAAACCCTAAGAAGCAATCTTCCAAATGTCTCCTAGCACGTTTCCTTGCCCAAGACGTTTCTGTGAGTACGGGTTTGAGAGATTGCTTTGAAGTTTCATAAACACCTAAATGACATTTCCGGCATTCACAGTTCGGGGGAGACGGAAAATCTTGCAATTGTACATCACAGCAAGCAAGAAAGTAGAAGCACCAGCTAGACCAACAGCTGAAGATTCACTAAGTTTGATGACTTTCGAGAAAATTTCGAACTAGGAGATCGTCACCTATGCGTGATTGAAATTTGCAGGTGCAACCAATGCTGCAGAACTGTTTCCACGACCGCCCTGCGTACGGAAACCATAGAGTCAATTCACGGGAGACTCATCTTCAGCTTCAACACCTGAACCTTGCCATAGATTTAGTCACTTTTCATTCACATGTAAACGACAGTTTTACATGTATAAGCGTAGCTCATAAAACAAAGAAAAGGCATGAACTTGCAAATCTCATACATTTTACTTCGCAGAGCACTTCAAAAGTCGGTTTGATTCAGTAGCAGTTTCAAGATTTAGAGCTGACTAGGCGCTATTCGTGACTTTGAACAGTGTAACAAATGTTGTAGCACAAACAGAAATAACTGCCTACGACTTGAAATTATCGACCATGAGCATGAGGAAAGATTCAAGATTTTTCGGACCAATCTGCAGCAACAGCCTGAAGACTGTACAGTCATGCACAGGTAGTGCAGTGAAGAGACCAAGGAAGAAGACATCGAAACTACACATTAGTGACCCATCCGAGTGCATCGCCTCAGAAACTCCAACAAATCCAAACATGTGAATCACACAAATATGACTCCATCCTTAGGGGACCTGTCTACGACGAAGATGATATGTGTATCTGATCGAAGAAAGGGGGTAAGAGCGGAAACGGTAGATCCGAAACTAAATGTCCGTGACAATACTGTAATCACGGCAGAGAAAGCTCGCGTGATCGACAATAGCGTTCAGCCAGCACGCAGACGTCAGGCTTTACCATGCGGCGCACACCCAGTGGAAAAAGCTCGTAGTTTCTTATCCGCGACATCAACACCAGACGGACCGACTGGATGCCCACGCCACCTCCACAAGGATTGTTCAACAGTGGACGGATTCAGGTTCTTTGTGACCTCGAGGTGCACAATTTGAATTTGAGTTTTAGTCTCACTGTTGCATTCTTCACCATTGGCGTCTTCCATTCTCTCATGACGATGTCTTCATACCAGAAGCGATGCACCCGTCACCGGAGGCACGAGCCAGAAGAAAAAGGGAAGGGAAAGAGAGAGAAGAAGAGTAGACGGGGGATCAAGCACCGCAGTCCAGCTTCATCGCCTCGCCCATCTTCTTCGTCTTCATTGGCCCGGCGTTCGTCTTCTTCCAGGCTTGCTTCTTCTTCTTCGTCTTCTCCTCCTCCTGCTCCTCCTCCGGCTCCGGCTCCTGCTCGTCCGCGACCTTCAGATGTGCGGCTTGTACCGCGAGAGTCATGTCACAATCCCGACGCTCGGACGCAGAAGAGAGCGGATCGAGGAGAAATAATGATGGCAGCGAATGGCTCCGCCCTTCCTCTCCTGCTTAACACGCAAAGCTTATTTTAAGCGCTGGCGCAGAGAAAGCCAGGCTAGACATTGGCCCCCGAGCGCCGAGTGGTGGCCGATGTGGCTCCGCCTGTGGCTACAGTGCCAGGCATCACGATACTTTTCAGTCCCAAAGATTCTCGGCTCCTGGTCTTTAAAGAGTGCTCCTCGCCTTCCGTCCCTTCGCGCCAGCGCCAGGCCCCAGGCCGAACGGAATGGCCTGACGACTCTCATTGGCATCGCGGCGCTCGGCGGGGTTTCGTTTCCTCGTCGGGAAATGCCCGGTTCATGCACATGGAAATCCGCCGGTCCTCCGTGAAGAACTTTTCAACAAATACCGGTATTTCAAAATCTCCGTCGCCGATCGTTGTCACTGCCGCGGCATTTCCCCGGCTCGCGAATTTCACTCCCGCTCGCCGACGGGCGGGCGGACGGACGGACGGACGACGACTGTTGTCCGGAGTTCGAAGCGCCAGGCTTGTGGGGCCGGCGGGCGTCCCGTCGACTGGTCCATGCTATCGCGAGTGCGCGGTACGATGGCCGGACCGTAGGAAGGACCCCGAGAAATGCGATCCACTGGTCGGATCCGGTCTCCGTTCCAGGCCCCAGAACAGACAAATTCTCGTCGGCGGGCAGTACGGTGCATTGGACAACGCCCCAGGTTCCACCTCGGGCCAGACGCATCTGCCGAATGCCCTTCTGATTCGATTAGATTCGGCACTCGGCCAGGCGAATTTCATTTCGTCCGGATCGAAGAAGGCATGGCTCGATCTGTGTGAAGCTTCCATCCAAACCACGATCTGTGTGAAGCTTCCATCCAAACCACGACGATATTGAACCCTCTGACCATGTCATTCTTCTAGAGTTTACGATGCATTCATCATTAAAACTTATGGTAACCAAACGTTGTTGATTGAAATAATTTCGTCGCTTTAAATATTATTATTTTACGTGTTTCACGGCCGATTGACACATCAAAAAATATAATTGTTAATGTGCATCCGGCGGCAAGCTCACGCATAGGAACAGCAGTTCTAGTGCAGTGAGGTTTGTCACTCTCTGCCTTCCTTTTCCCATGGGATTCGGCATTGAGAAGGTTCTAGGAGAATTCTTCTATGATTTTCCACTATCCGTTTGAGTTGGCTAATGGCAAACACATGTGTATAAATTAGTAGCCATTTCGACCATGTTGATTCACGTACGGCATTTCCATCTACTTTTTACTCCACCTTCATGGATGACATAGCTACTGCACGTTGCTTTCTCGATACTCAACAAATACTTGCAAACTAAGGCTTACTACAAGGCTGAAATAGAACTTTTGTCATTTTATATAAAGTGTCATAATCACGAAAATCGAGAGTTGACGTGTGAAAGAAATGTCAACTGATTCACATATCAACAACAAGAGAAAATTAAGGAGAGTCTTTATTGGAATCTGCATAAGTAGCTAAATCATCTGATTTAATACTTTGAATTTGGTTCAATGGCTGAACCGTTTAGTTTCTTGAACTTTTGCATTATTCAATCATGGTTGTATTATGTCCAACTTCAATCTTAAATCCGCTTGAAGCCAAAAGTGACACAGATCTTCTCGTCTATTATATTTCCTAGCTTTTAAAATTGAAGCCGAATAAAAGAAATAATAACAATCAAACCATCTTAAAAGAGAGACCTGCATATCTTGCAATAATTACATTTACTATAGTATAATTTAATTTTATAAAAAATCCATTCTTACCTAATAATCATATTAAGTTATAACTGAAGACATTTCCTTCAAATACAGGTCTAGAAGTATCGTCGTAGAGTACCATAAACACCTGATCTATACGGGGCTATGAATAAGATAGAATGTCACAAAATCGTCAAATTTGTAATTCAAATCTAAAAAAATAAATTTTAAGATTGTGGGAATAGATGTAAGAAGTGTTTGTAGATATCCAAGAAAAACTTAACAACACAAAAATAGTGTGATTCATCATCAGAAAAAGTGCTCCGATATCAATTGTTTGTAGAAATCCAAGAAAGACACAACGACATAGAAATAATGTGGTTCACCCTCGGGAAGAGTCCCACGTCCGCCAAGAACACTATTCACTTTACTTCAAGTTTCTTACACAAGACTTTATGTACATGACGAAAGCCGAGGTATTTATCTCCAGTCCAGGCGACCGCCCTAGCTATAAATAGCTAGGAATCGAGGTTACTCCTTGATTGGAATTAACCTCAACAACCTCATCCTTCACTCAAGTTGAAGAAACAATAATCTCTATAACATACATCATTATTCCAACGAAAGTTCCAAACAAAAACCTAACATATGGACTACTCTTTACACAAGAGTAAACTAGAACTAAGTTGTAGCCATAACCTAATTAAGTAATAACATAAAGAAGTAACTAAAAACCAACTAGCATAGAGAGGACAGAAATTTCGTAACCTATATAATTATTCCGCATGAAGTTCTAGAAAGAAACCTAATACAAGGCACCTTTTTACACGAGAATGAACTAGATCTAAGTTGTAGCCATCACAAGATAGAGAAAATATATAAAAAATAGTAATTGAAGATACTATGTTAGCAAACTCTAACTCTACTCCTCATGCACAACCTGCATGATAGCATAGTGTCACTTGAAACTTTCCAAAGAAATAACTTTGATCAACGCATCAGCCCAATTGAGTTTATCGTCAATCGTGACTAACTCAATCATTTTATCAAACATTGTTGTCTAAAATTTGATTTTGCTATTGTTGTGATTCACTCTACTATACATAACATGATTTGTGCTCATCTTGATAATTAATCACATAATGATCAAACTCCTTCACACCCATAGTTGTGTGCGGAGATTTTCACTTGTCCGTAAGAAGATTCAAAAAAATCTACTCCTCTTTCAATGAACTAAGCTCATTGAAAGACACACACGCCATTTGGATTCATTAAAAGAAGCACATCTACTCACAAGAACCTTAAAATCTACTGGCTGTCATCTATAACAATCTCTCACCGTCACGATTGACTATCACCCGTGATTGTCCCTCATCGTCGCCAGCGATTAACTGCGCCCGCAACTAATTGTCACCCATGATTATTCCTCTATTCCTCGTCCTAGAAGGCCCTAGTCCTTGGGGGGGGCGGAGCCCGCCCGGAAAGTTGTAGTTAGGGACTTTACCGAGCCAGGCTCATTGTCGCCCACGACTAAATATCGTTCGCGATTAACCGTTACCGTCGTTCGCGACTAATTGCATCTGTGATTAAATGTTGACCGCCACTTACTACGCTCACGACTAACAATGCCCGCGACTAGCATGTCACTTGTGATTTGATTTCATCGTCACTTACAACTAATTGTGCCTGCAACTAATCATTATCTATCATCCGCAACTTATCAAAACTGTCGTTCACAACATATTGCGTCCGCGACTAACCATTACAGTCGTCAGTGACTAAGTGTCACCCGCGACTGACTGCGCCCGCGATCTACTGAAATCATTATCCATTGACATACTGCACCCGCAATTAAGTGTCATCGTCGCTCATGACTCACTGTGTATTGTAGGCAACTACGTTGCTCGTGATTGCCTTTCGTGTAAATGTTCACCTCCTGAAAAATATCTAGATGCACTATTTGCGTCGAGAGAATTTCAACGATATTCAATTTGACTATATTCTGATGAAAAAATATTTTTAAGAAATATTTATGACAAAATATTCCTTCACCATTTACCATCTATTTACCATTTACCATTTACCACCGTTGCTCTGATCGTCACCGTCACCGTCAGTCTGTAAGACCGGATGTTGTATGTGTAAAATAAAACTAGAAGTAGCCAAGGAGTTAATCATGGTTAAGATAGTTACAGCTAAGTCTAGCTAGTTATAGCTAAGTCTAGCTAGTTATGACTAAATTAATTAGTTAAAACTAAGTTTATCTAGTCATGAAAAAGTTTAGCTAGAATGTATATAGTTGGTGTAATAATTAGCGAAGTTTTAGAAAAGTGGAGTGAACACTTCTATTTTGTCTTTTACAAAGTTCTAGATTCAAGCGATTAGACATTTGACTACAAGCTTGGATTTGATTGATTTGACTAAATGTATGAAAGATGATTGGCTAGACTAAGTCTAATGTTGACTTAGTGGTCAAGAAGCTTCTAGAAGTTTTAAAGCTTACTATTGCATGTCGCCACCTCAACCTCGGATTCCGGAAACTTCTTGAAGGTTTAGGAATACCAATAGCCAGACCTCTCGATATAGGGCAAATTCCTTATGTTCTGAATCTCAACAAAATAAGGAACATTTTCAAAACAAAATACGAAACATATGGAACATGACATAAATCTGTCATGTTTTCTCTAATAAACTTCAAATTTGACGACAATGTAATATACCTTCAAGAGAAATGGAAGTTATTTTGAACCTATGAATATCTTTCTTCCATTAAAGAATGAGATTTCACTTTCTACTATTGCAGTATTAGGAAATGGACAAGCTAATCCTCCTACAAATTCCATAAGTCGAGGAAACCTGTTCCTAATATTTGGAGTACTCCAAGCTTCGCAAAAATCAGACTGCTTAGTCAACCTACTCAAAGCATTTCAAAGACGATGTTCTCTGTTTACAAAAACCAGAAGCTCCTTGTGTTCTTCCACTATTTTATCTATGTACTGTTGTTCCAAGAAAGTTGGAGACAATCTTAATATTTAAGAACTAATTGAACAAAATCTCGTGTCTTCATAGCTACCAGTTCCTTAGGCAAGCAAGGTGGCAAAATACTAGAAGCTGCTTGCTTCAACTCATCACAAGTAGCTTCTACCTTGCTCAAATCACAAACTTCTTTCAAAAACAGGTTGCCAACTGCATGCAACACTTCACTTTTTGATTCTGTGTCCATCTCTACGAATGATTGGGTAGCGAACAGACACTGATTTTTGATCAATCCAATCAGATTGGCATGACTAACTTCCCATCTGTCCAAGGTTACGATGTCAAACGCTGGAGATGAGTTTAATTCAATCCCAACTCGCTCTACACATGCAAAACGCTGTAAGTTAGTTAGCAGATCTTGGAGAACTGACTTTTGCTGTTGCATAGTAGTTCTTCTTCCTTGTAAACCTTCCACACACTGGCTTACATGCCGTGAAAGCTTGCTTACAACTGCAACCATAATCCACAAAGATAATGAACGC